ATACCAGGGCAGATGTGCCCTGCATATGATCGGTGTACACATGTGTACTAATTTCTGTTTAAATTAAATAAGTACGCACGCTATGAGAATTCTAGCTAAGGACTTATATATAAGATGGCCGCCCTGTTATCGCATCGTGATAGTTTCCTAACCTCAGAGACAGCATATCAGAGCCGGCTACTTTGAACTTACATCAGACTTACAGTTGTTGACACATGTAATAGAAGCATCTCAAGACTTAACGATGCAACAAGAACATGCAAACTGGTCCAAATAAGGACCGTTCGAAGTGCTCTACTCACTTAACTTTCGCGCACGTAACTGAATTCGCTGTTGGTCACTAGGGAGACGCGCATTGAATGAGCGGGAAGCTGAAGAGGTAGACTTGAGGAGACCGTTGAACTGATCATAACCAACAGCGTGGGCAAGCTGGCCATGGCAGCTAACGGCCAGGGCGACTGGATTGGCCTGACGTACAGGCTGAATACCGTCAGAATAGGCGTGTCGAATGAGAATGCCGTCGCGGGCAGTGGAGAAGAAAAATTCTGGATCCAAGCTCCAACCGAGGGCTACGCAGAGGAAGAAAAACGCAGTAATGTGCTGCACAACGGAGACAAAATGAAGTTGTTGAATTTAACGGAATGTAGAAAGGGATAAACACCAACACCATCGGCGACCGTCCAACTACCACTCCTAATACATCGGTCGCAATCGACAGGACAACAAACCCGTGACCCAATAAGTAGGACTTTTAACTTCTAACCAACAGGTCGTGAGTTCGAGCCTCAGGGGTTGTAAAACCTGGGTTTGGGTATGGTCGAGTGCAGACGGAAATGGCCATTTTAGGGTCCCTTCTCTGCGTCTATAATGCTTTTCTCTTTATAATATACTAGCGGCTGGGGGCCCGTTGGCGGGTCTCGATAGTGAGCCCCAAGATAAGACGAGTGTATTCTGTGACGCGATTGGCGTTCGCTCCACTACAACCGTTAGGAAACGGTACTCTCAATGAACACAATGACTAAAATTTGACTTCTTACTTACACCGGAAGTTGTGAAATGTCGTAGTAGTTGAGAATTGCTGCGGCCACTGCACCGCACTAATCAACAAAAATCTACTCACTTCTTCATAGGTATAACAACGTTCAAATTTGCCACGGCGAACCTATCTGGCTATAGATGAAAGGATAAAGCTTTCATTCAAATACAGTTAGGCACCACATTAATTAGACTTTACAAACTAGCAATCCGAGGCCCTCAAATTTGGTGGATAATTGAGTGGACAAAGACATAGGGTAAACCCGTGGTAAGAAGAGTCCCGTGAAAGATGCTGAAGAAAACCACCTGGACGAAACGATTTGGTAGTCTATGGGAGGGGGGGTTAAATCTGTGCACAAGATGCAAGCGGCCTCAGAAAAACTGAGGCTGATTTAATCAATCCGTACAAGTAGTCTACTACGTTAATGGGCAGCATAGATAACGTCCACTTGAAGCCTTGCTATTCCTAGTACAGAGATAAGTTAACGATGATCAGGTTGCAGCAACAGAAAAAAATGGAATTTTACAGGATGTGAGATGGAGAATTCTTTTCTAGAAGCCAGGCGCGATTAGTATATAAACTTAGTCAGAACTACTGCAGACAAGGGTTGACCTACCACCGGTCGTAAAATACGCATAAAGCAAACTTTTTAATATACTCGTGCAGCTAGTCCCTCACAGAGCACACGAAAAAATTCCAAAACCATGCTACTAAATAGGAGGTTGGCGTAAAAACACCACTCTGAGATACGCCATCTGTCCCGAGTAAACTAAAAGAAGAAAATAGGCCTCTCTGTGTGGTAGCAGTACTGAAACGACCTAAAAGTGAACGTTTTCGGTCAGCATGAGTTCCTGCATGGGTGAATTTAATCACAACTAGACCCGAGGGAAGTAGAACTAATTAGTCATCTATGCCTCAATTCTGACTGGTAAATATTGCTTGCTTGACGCCACGCAAGTGCCCATACGGACTCGAAGAGGGTTATTTTTCATCAGGAGGAATCTGAGTGCGTTGTCCAGTTGTCTTCGGTCGATCAGCATTTTAGTCACATAAACCGTTTTTTAAAATCCTTTAGTCCCTCCCGTCCCCCGAATAAAGCAACGAACTCCATGGTTATTGAAGTATTCTGACAATAGGAGAGATGATTACTGCCGTTCAGTCAACACCAAAAGGTTAACCCAGCTTAGATACCAAAATATGGCAATCCAGCTCTTGTGAGAAGTTTCAGTAGCGACTGGTGCCCTAAGCCAGTCTGATGATGGGGCCGTGGGGAGACTATAACTTTTTACTGTACTTTTTAACTTTCCTTAACTTCAGTCCGAGATAAAGACAGAACTGGGGATTGCATCATACAACAGCTTACACAAATAGTCTACGTGTTGTCCTTGCAAGGAAAAACTGGCTTATAGCATACATAAAAAACTGCCAGGCAGAATTTGTATCAGATATATAAATATACATTAATGGTCCATGAACCCGTCCCCTCTTCTTCTTCCTTACCTTTGGGAGATAATGAATGCGATATTAATATGCGCAGATATTTGAGGTCCAGTTATAATATTGCTTTCATCAACCCCCGTAATAGGAGGAAGAAGATGGGGCCATTCCTGAGGCCAAGATGTATTTATGCTGACGTCAGTCATTTAGACAGGCTTAATTTAATTTGTCTTCTTTTCGCTCATTCTCCGTGACACCCTCCTCAAGCGTTAACATGAGGTTTCGCGTTCGGCTTACGCGGTTATTGACTAGGGTTAGGAGTTAAGGTAAAGGGAAGAAGTTAGGATTACAGGTC